ACCCCCAAAATGCAGACATAATTATGTATATTAAATATCAAAACATAATTTCTTTAATTTTTACTCTGATGTAGTGAATGCCCAAGTCATTTTGTTACAGTGTATGAACATCTTTATCTGTTTGCCTCCACTTGTCTCTGCAACACCTTGGTGTACTAATATTTTCCCAGCCTCCCTAAAAATAGTTTAGTATAGATTTGTGTTTATTAAGGGAAGGGAAACATTGCATCTTTCAACAATTGTGTCATTGTGCAAACATCTTGACTATGAATATGAAACTCTAAATGGTAAAGATCAATCACTCAATGTGAAATGGAGATATGGCCAGCAAAATATATGAGACTGCTACTGGCATAGTATTCATTGCATGTTGTTGTACTAAACTTGAAGTAGAAAGGGTACATGCTAAAGTAATAATAAAAATATAGTTCACAAATATACACACAACCCAGTAACTTCATTGTTTATTAACCTTATCAACTACCATGCACTAAACATGAATGGCTATGTCATATACACTTACACAATTGACAGTGCATGTATTTATTTCCACCAATATCAAAACGGGTGCACAGTGTGTTGCATTGCAATTTACAATGGCTACATCACAAGGCGATAGACATTTTTTTTTTTTTAGTTCCAAGGTAATCTTGTGAAACCATGATTGTCCAATGTTCATTGTCCACAAAACATTGTGTAATTCATGACTCTATTTTATTTCCTGTAGTTCATTGTCTTCACACATACCCTTCTCTTTCCCCTGGATTGCTCTTAATCTGATTTTCTACTCTTATACCCATCTTTCATATCATATTTTAAATGTAACCTATGCCAAAAGTATCCTTTATATATACCCTTTTAATCACAGCATAATACTTATATTCATCTGAATCATATGTCATATTTGTCAATATGAATTTATTTTATTGTGAAAAATGTCTCTCATTGAGAGGAAATTAAGAAAAATTTCCATAATGCAGTTTTATTTACCAATTTTCACTTACACTTAGCTCCCATCACATCACTTGCAAGCATGGTGGCTGTTGATCAGTTATTTTGAGATGAATGTTTTCTTTTCTGTAGTTCTTTTACTTGAATCAAGTTTAGGATTGAAATTTATTTTTATTATTACTATCAAATAATCTTGGGTACTTTTCACTTCTAAAGTTTTCTTCTGAGAAGCATACACTATTTCCTAAACTTAAATGTACATGTTTTAGTATGACACAATCCAAAATTTATTTGGCAAAAATTGTATACTTTAAAATATGCCTATTTCTAAGTTAGATAGTTATTTATTTTTAAGGTGAAACAATTAGCAGCAAAATATTTACTTGTGACTTTATTTATATTTTTATGACTCTTGGAGTCCACTATGATTTTTATTTAATGCAACTCACTCTGCCACATTCATAATAAATTCTTTGCCTATTGTAAGGAATACATTAATCAAAGATAGTCTCATATTTTGGTGACCATATGGCATAGATACCAATATCTAAACCATAATAGGTATATCAAAATAATCATACAAAAACCAATCATAAAGCTTTCTTGCAAATACAATTCTTACAGTTGAAGTGACTATAAAATGAATTTCTATAAAGTAAATTTTTGAGTACTATGTCAGGAATCTTCAGTAGAAATTTTAGCCCCAGTCCCAACTGAACACTGTCATCAGTGATTCTCTATTTCCTGGTGTTATTTTATTCTGTGTGGGGCTGAGTCTTAGCTAGATGAAGGCAGACAAGATAACAAGCAAAATTACTAAACTGTCCAGTTCTGAGTCTCACCTCGATCACCAGAGCCAAGTGTCAGCCTCATCCAAACACGGATTGTAAGAGGGATAGTGCTTCTCCAGTGCCAGGCAGGGCTTACTGGAAGCAAGACGGAGGTTACCCTGGAGGTGAGAGCACCAAATTCCAACACATGATTTATTCTCAATTAAGCCACAATTTATTTCTACTGAAAATGTATTCATCCACATAAAATACTACGTTAATTTCTTGTATTTTATCCTTTTCATTCTTGTGGTTATTTCTATAGGGAGTCTGGCTTTTACTCTGTCCAATTGTCTTGTTTGAAACTCTAGATTGAATGTTTTTGTTCAGCTTCATCCAGTTTTTTTTTTTTTTTACATTATTTGTTCTTTCACATAAGACTCTATTTCTCATTTTTAAGAATCAGGAAATAGCAACTGAAGAGAGAAGTAAATTGTAGCCAGATACAAGAAGGAAAAAGAAGGGGAAGAAGAGACTTTATTTTGCTAGAGAACACCTGGAATGCACACGTTTGATTACTAGTAAGATAAGATTAAATCTCATGAAAAGAACTGCCACCCTCCATAGAATATAAATGCGTAGGCAAACGTTCAATGTTTCATTTATATATCCTACTGCTTAAATGCAATTTTTAAACATGAGTAACTTTTACTTTCAAATGAGACTTGCAAACTCTGCTCTGACTGTTCCATATCAAGCAATCCTTTCTCTATCTCCTTTTAATTTAAGAGGCAGATTTCTCATCTAAGTTAGAAATAAGCTTCATATGGAAATATGTTATTGATTTTGGTCACATTTCTACAGTTGTCATCAAATTAAATTCTCACCACAATTTAGCACTAAATTGGCATTTAAAGTTCCATCCAGTAGTATAACCTATATTAGGAAGGGAACATGTATTTCATAGTATCACTGAAGTTGAAAAACAATCATTTATAATCAGTTTCTTGCACAGAAGATATTAATATTGCTTAGGTATTCAGAGTTAGTGTTTCTCTAATCCTCAACTATCACTTATTTCTTCAAATTATTTTGTTGGTACATGGGCAAAAGATATGTTGGTTCTTTATTATTTAGTACTAAAAGACTAAATAGCATAAAGGTATTTAAATAACCTAAAAATATAATTCATCTCTGTTTTTCGATTTTTGTTTCTGTTTTGTTAAACTTTTTGCCCACTAAGCTAGTTGTGTTAGCTGAACGTGTTCACTTGTCTGAGGCGGGTGGCTCTGTAATATTGGAGGTGCTTCTATTGCCTGTGGTTTGTAGCACTGTTGGTATTTACAGTGCATCCCAGATGGATACCTTCCTCAAATTAATTATCATTCAGCTTATCCTTGCTTCCAACCTCATTTATGAAAATGTTAAATAAGACTGGCTATAATACCTACATCCCTGAAGCACACCCCTCAACATCTCTTCGTAACTTGATGAGTTGCCATTTATCATTAAATTTCTTTAGCCAATTTAATCCCAGGAAGAATGTTAATATTGAATCCAGCTTAAGCTAAGTTTTAATTAAGATTTTTGAGACATTTTAAGTGATTTACTATAATCAAAATTGATAGGTCCTCTGGTACCCCACCTTCCAGTGTTCTAACTTTATGCATGCACAAAGGAATTTTTCTGACTTGAAAAGTTCTCCATAATTATTTTCCTTCACTTTGATTGTTTCTTCAATAATGTCTTTCTCTTTTGCCTTCAGGTCTGTGTATGTCATACCCATATAAGTTCCAGAATCATTTCATGGATTGTCTTTCCTTCTGGCAGTGACATCTGTCCACCTTAAAATAACCAGTGTCAGAATTTAGCAGCATTAGTGCCTTTGTCTAATTTCCCTTTGCTTTTTAAATTATTTTTATTGCTGCTCTTTCTGTCACATCACCATTCTAAATGCAATAAATCATACAACTAGAAATAGAGCATACAACATATATTTCCTTAAACTGATGTAATATATGAAGAATTTTGTATTTATAAAAGATACTAAACCCAAACTTTAAATCTTTAAATAGACCAGTAACTAACATGGCACCCATTAGAGTGAACTGAGTTGTCGAAGTAAATATGTACATTCATATTTTATTAAACTCTTTGCATCACAGTGTTCACCAGTTTCCCAAAAGCATCTGTGCTTGTGCAAACCACCATTTCATAGACATTAAAAAAGAAAGATTTGAAATACATGAGAAAGTATAATTAAGTAAAATGTGTATGCGTGCTCATTTATTAACATTGCATGTTTTCTTTACTCGTAAGAAAATTTCCGACTTTCACTCTGTAAAGTGATGCCCATTTTTACATCTGAGTATCATTTTGGGTATACTAAAACAAGAAAATTCTGTGAATGCATGTAGCCATATGATATGATTTCACACTGTAATCTGTCTTTATTCTTTCACCTGCTTCAGTAAATTTATATGTATCAGGAAGTCAAGGAGCATTATAAACATAATAAATAATAAATGTTCATTATGAAATTAATAGTTATTCACTCAAGTATAATAACACAAATATGTTTTTTATTGGGTACCAATCTCCTCAAAATGATTATGTGTGCGTATTAGCTCTAAAGGTGTTCAAAGTCATATGAGGAGCTATGAGAACATTTTCTTTTCTCAGAAAGTTGTTTCTTGGGCTAACTTAGGTGTGCTATTGTATAATTATATTGCATGATTAGAGATGTATTTGCTTCTTTATAAAGCGCTTTGTCTTATTTGTCCTTTATAACCAGAGTGAACAAGATTTTAAGGCAGAACATTGGGATGGAAAATAGAGCTAAAGAACGGCTGTAGTAATAAAGGCAAACCAACTTTCATTATTACATTTGTTTCTCCTGTCAGACTGTAGTTATATGTGTGTATCTGTCAAGAACAGGAGGTGAGGTAGAAAATAATATAAAATTTCCTATAGGAATATTTGATATTATGCTAGGATCCTCTTCTTTTTTGTGGAATTAAAGCAATTCTACAATATCCAATACTGCTTTTCCTTGTCTGTCTCAGAAGAGAATAACAACAACAAAAAATCTTTCCTAGAGTGATTGCTTCAGTGTGATAACAGAACACAGTAGCCTCAATTGGAGAAAATAAAGGCGTATGTGCCAAGAAAACTTTGCTGTATTTTGTCTTTGAAAGCATCCTACTGGGTTTTTGGAGGGGAGGAAGGGAGTGAAGAGTTGAGTCCCAAGAGGATTTATGGTGTGATTTTCTTTTCCAGCTCACTGCAGTGGACGCAGACGAAGGGTCAAATGGGGAGATCACATATGAAATCCTGGTCGGGGCTCAGGGAGACTTCGTCATCAATAAAACAACAGGGCTTATCACCATCGCCCCGGGAGTGGAACTGATAGTTGGGCGGACTTATGCGCTCACTGTCCAAGCAGCGGATAATGCTCCTCCTGCGGAGAGAAGGTAATTTATATTAGAGCCAGTGCTGTCTTTTCATTGTTCCAGTTTAACCGCCTAATTGAATTTAAAAAAAAAAAAAAAACACAGCAAGCATTCTTTTATCCTATAAACATCTAAATTAGATCAGAAAATCAGAGACCGGATTCTCAGGAACTGCATATACTTATTTGGTTACATTTTGGGCAGGGAAAAATAAAGACAAAATTAAACTACCAAATAATTAGCAGTGATTTTCCAGAAACAGAAGAACACCCATCTCTCTGTTCTGGTGGAAGAAATGGAAAACACCAGATGCATATTTTCAGTTTATTATTGAAAAGCTTTGTGGCTGAGAGTTAGAGAAAAAACTCTTTCAAAAAAATCACAGATATCATGAGTAGAATATAATGTCTCAAAGTTTTGAAACCACCTATCATTATATGAGCATTCATTAAAATATAAATGTGTATATGTAATTATTATACATATGCATAATTGATAAATACGTGTAAGCAATGATCAGAAAGACAACTTCTTTGAATTTTGGAAATTAACACAGTAAATGGTGCATTGCTGTTAATTCCCTGAATGTCTCTATAAGATGTGATGAAAATCAGTGAATGCTGCTGCTGGATGCCATGTAACCGAAAGGCTCATAAAAACGTCACGGCATGTCTTCATCCACCTTACTACAGGATCTAGCATGCAACTCCTGGCTTTTCCTCAATCCAGAATGAACGGAAAGTAAAAGATTTTCAAAGGATTCAGGACACTGGGGCAACTGAAAATCAAAAATAAAGGCACTCATGTATGAAGACCTCTAGAACTGCTTAAAAAACTGACACTATTGATGAGATAAATGTGTTGGAAGCAAGGGGTGTATTTTGAGAGGGATTAATGTTAATCTTTCTTTTATAATAGTGATTTGTTAAAAATTTAAACACACACTCTAGTTTTGGATAATGCTCTTGTAGAGACAAAGAAAAGTTACAAATTTTTACTAGTACAATTACCAACACAATTGCATCTTTTCCTCCAGGACATATCTGTTTTATTAATTTGTTGCATGTTTGTGGATTTTCAGTATGCATGTCTAAAAATAAGAGTGTTCTTGCTGTTCTTTTTTTGGTAAAAATATTAGATAACACCCTCAAATTCTTTTTCTCAGCTAGATATTTCTGCATTTATATGTAATTCTGCTTAAGAATTCCATTTTTCACTTTTTCTGTTTTTTTAATCATCTTTTTAAAAATAGCCAGTCTTTTAGCTAGATTTCAAGTCTCTTAAACTCATAGGATTATCTGAAAAATATATTTTTCATTCTACTTCAGTGTTCATTACCAAATAAAAAAGAGCAAATCTATAGGAGTTTCACTTATAAAACTGGGGATTAATTTGCATCATTTTGACAGAAATATAATTTTATATTATGAAAATAATATTTAGTTTGATCAGTGCTCAGGTTTATGCATTTGGGGCTGAATATAAAATGTAAATGTGAAATGCTCACATACAATTTTACTTACCTAGTGATTGCACTTAAGTGGTGCTACTGAATTACAACTTTTTATTAAAACACTATTGCTATTTTATTAATATATTGGTTTTTTAATTTTATAAAAGCTGTCACAGGAATCAGGAACATCAGAGATAAAAAGGCCAAGAATATAGTACAATAGTGTAACCACCTGCCTGACAAGTGTAAGGTCCTGAGTTTGATTCCCAGTATAAAAGACAAAAAGGAGATGTCACTTTTATGACAGTCCTCAAGAGAAATGGTGTTTATTTAATCACATTTTAAGGAAATGCCAGGATGCAGAATGTGTAAAAGTTAGAACTATGAACTTTAACAGCCACACCTATGAGACACAAAACTTAATTAACAATTTAAGAATTTGAATCATTGTGGAAAGGAACAGACAAATCTAAATAGTGAAGGCAGATGAAGGAGACAGTCATGTTGGACGAGCGTGGTTTCCTAGCTTCTGCCCCAAATCATATAATGACTGTTTCCTATCTTCTGCTGCAAATCATATAATGACAGACAGGAAATAGCTAATCCTGGAACACCTGGGAAAAATCCTGGTCATTACATACAGATACTAATAGGGCTATAAAACCTATTGCACATAGAAACTAATAAGAACAATGATACAGAATTTATGCTTTGAGAAAGTTTTGTTAGGAAGAGGGAACAGGTTTTTAAAAATAACTGAAATTACAAAAGGAAGCTAGGATATTCATCAGTGCCATCATAAAGAATGTGCATCTTAGGGCTACTGTTGGGCCCAGACCATCACCTGGCAGGGTGTCACATGGGCCTCAAAAAGACAATTCCTTGGATTTGATCTATAATAAGTGGAACTTTGCAATGCACATAATGATTTTTGTAATTTTCTCTTATTTTGTTTCAAATGAATATAATATCAGTAGCTCTAATGTTTATTAGAAAAGTAAGCCATTGTAAATGTTTTGCTCTTAAGGACTAGATTTAATGATTATGTAACTATGCCACATATATTTATAAATATGTATACAAATATAATTGAAATAAGTAAATTTGATTATAATTGATTTTTAAATAGCAAAGTATGAAGCAAAGACAGAAATGAATACAATAATTTTAACTGATTATAAAGATCTGAAAGATTTTAAAGTAAGTTTATTTTGAATCAATATTATAATTAATGCAAGATTGATTCAGTTAAATCATTGCAATTTATCTAACCACTGAGGATGTGTTCAAAAACAATTTATATTCATGTATATTATATACAAGTTAGTTTTAATATTATGATCTATATTTCACTTAAAAGACTTTCAAATACTAAAGCTTTTAGTATGTAGTAGAAAAAAATTTTTGTGACTATGTTTTAATTGGAATGGGTTTTAATAAGAGTTTTAGATTATTTTAAGAAATTGCTAAACTCAAAAAAGATTTATAACAAACATCAAATTTAAAAATTATAAACTAAAATCATGATCTTGCTTAGATAATACTAAAATATACATTTGATACAGTAGTGGTATGTTTGTATAAAATGGGTATGTATTTCAAGATAAAGGACTATCTTTGTAAATTTATGTCCCCTTTATATGTTAGCCAACCTTTCTTCTTTAGAAAACTTTAAATATCTTGTTTCTTCCTTTTTCACTGTTCAAAAAAATTCTCAGAGTCCAAAGATATTGAAAACATAGATTTTGCGAAGATTAATATTTTTAAAGTCATGATAAAGGATTTTATTACCCTTCAAGAAAATTTCCTGTGAAGGAAGTCTTTAAATATAAGTTTTAGCTTTTTATAATTTTCTTTTTAAAGAAATTTTTAAAATTTGACTTTGTAACTATTTTAAGGTGATGAGGGTTACGTTAAGATCTTCACTCAATATACACTTAGGTTAATCCGTTGATGTCAGCACCGAAATGAATAAAATGCAGTCCCTAATTTGTTTTTTATTTTATTTTAATCAATACTCCCTCTGCTGGTTTAATAGGAAGAGAGTCAAAGGACAGCTTTTATTACCTAATGTTAACATAATAGTTTTTGCTATCAAAAAAGCATTAAAAAATAGTCAAAAGTCCAGGCAAGGTAATTTATTAGCTTTATTGTACAACTATTCCTTTTTATTTCTCACTATTAATCTAAATAGGAAAACATATAATAGAGGAAATTCCTTTTATTTTACTAAAGTAATTTAATAAAACCTTTATATTTCAGTGGTAGCTTTTATTTTTCCATTCTGTAATGCTGAATTTACTGTTATCTATAAAATTTGATAATTTCTTATCCTGAGAACATTACAAATTAATACATAATGCTGTCTAACTTTAAAAGTGATGTAGATTTTTAAACAATTCTTTTCATTTCTCTTGCTCTGTAGGCAGTCCATCTGCACAGTATATGTTGAAGTGCTTCCTCCAAACAATCAAAGCCCTCCCCGCTTTCCACAGCTGATGTACAGTCTTGAAATTAGTGAAGCCATGAGGATTGGTGCTGTTTTATTAAATCTACAGGTATTTCCACCATGTGTGAGTGTGTGTGTGTTGTTTGTCTGTGTGTGTAGACAGACAGATAGGCACACAGATAGTGACTGAGTTTCTATTTGTGCATGTTGAGGAAACCTTGTACGCTTGCCTGTGTTCTAGTGAATGAAACTTCCATCTGGAAAGGCAAGCTAGGGTCATATGGATGGAGGGTTTCCATGGCTAATCTATTCTACTGTCACACCTGAAGAAGTAACAGATTAGCTGCAGTCATTACAGTAGAGAATGAAGGGAGTATAAGCATGCACTTGAATATTTTGTACTCTGCAACCAAAGTGTCTGCAGCTGACTCTTATTTTTTGTCTCAGATGCCTTTGTCCATCCGAATTTTTTTAAATTTTTGCAGCAATATTATATAGGAAAAATAACCTGAGATTCAAAGGCTGATGATAGTCATTCTGTTTCTGAAACATGCTTATTACATTCTGGGTCAACCAGCAAGTTTTATAAGTGCTGTGCCTTTGTTTATTCATTTAGATGAAGCTGTTAGATTGAACCAATATTTTTCTTTGCATCCTAGCATTCATGGATGACACATGAATTATTTATAAGATTAAAGCTTGGCTTTTACTATTTATCTACTGAAGAAAGCCCATTTGAACAGTTATGGCTATTATCTTTGGCTGAATAAGCAAGTATAATTTCTGCTACATAAGCTGTTAATAACTGCAACTTGCTCTAATAATCATACCAAACAAAAAATGACATAATGTTTTACCTGTGAATGCAGGGAGGGCAGTGATTGGTGATACAAACTTGAAGGCCGGCTTGGAAGTTTAGGTGAGATATTATTGTAGTAGGCCGGATAGATTCTCTGCATCAACTTTTCCATCAAATGAAGTCAAACCACGTTCAACTGCATCTTGCTCCAATCTACTGCCTTCTTGCTCAGATCCTGATTATATATCAGTGAAGTTTTTTTTCATAGAATATTTGTAATAGAAACAGATCTAAAAATCATGAAAGACACCATTCTCATTTTGTAGATGTGGAAAGTAAACTTTAGAGAAATTAACTGATTCCTAAAATCTGGCTGAAGTTTCTTTCATTTTGAAGCACATCACTTTCCATTAAATATCAGTAAGAATTATTGCTGCCAAAACTTAATTAGCATTGCTAGATACTTCTTTGTGATTCTCCTCTAATATTTATTTTTTATCTTTTTCTGTAACTAGAAAATTTGCTTTAATTTTTATTATTAGAATTTATAGAAGGAAAATTAAATTATACAAAGGGGAATACTGGTGGTAATGAAATTTGGATTATTTTAATAGACCTATTAATAGGAAGAAAAGTTACCATTTCTTTACCAGCAAGAAAGCAGCTAGTCAAATTATTATAAATATGATACTGAATGGCATATGCATATACTAAGACATATGTGTTTCATGAAATGATAAATTTCTTCTTTAATTTTATGAAAATCCATTCACTGAAATAGAAAAGAGAAACGGAAATCAAAATAAGTCTTAGATTTATAAAATTCCAGTCACCTAATCAAGAAAGATCTAGGAACCATATTGTAGAATAATAATTCTACCTGTGCAGTGAGATGAAAGGGGTGTGGCCTTTTCATATCTCAGCTTTCTTGCTCACAAGAACTGAAAAAACAATGTGCAATGACATTTCTTTTCACCCTTTTTGCTGCTGGTAGTAGCAATATAAAGGATGCCAATTTCAGTCTGTTAGAGAAAACTAGGGTGACACCCAAAATATTCCCCGCAGGCCGCCCACCCCCCGCTTTTGTTCATGATCAACCAAGACTGAATTTAAGCCATTGACCTAATACTGAAAAGCTTTCATCAAATTACTCTTCCAAGGACTTCCAGTAGAAGGCTGCATTAGAAGCACTCCAGATACCTGTCATCTCTCTATTTTTGTCCCTTTTGTGCGTGGTGCACTGCCCACTACTCATTGTTCAATTTTAAAAGACACAGAAATGTAAAATAGCAACAGACTGGCTTCAAAATTGTCTTGAATGAGATAAAAATGGCTTGATTTTGGCCACAGTGGTTTCATTTGGCCTATCCCCTTTCAGTGTATTTTTGTCATTTCATCTGACAGTTGTTTGGGAGATTGTGTTTTTTCTTATTATATTAATACTATTTTGATAGCTGCTGGGATGAGGGCATTAACACCTTGATCGATCGTCTGATTTTATTTCTAATTTGTGATTTACAAGTTGTGATATATTACTAAAGGTCAGCTTCATTTATGAGCTAAAAAAACAGTTACAGCACATTAAAATGATGTATGATTTCATTTGGTCATCACCACGTCGCTCAGGAAAAAGAACTTAAAAGAAATATGAACTTACTATTTATTTTCTCACTTAGAAGCTAAAAAATAGAATATATGTTATAACCTGAATAGAGTACATGCAAGAAAAATGTTATTAAATTCTTACCTCAGATACTGCTGATTGTTAGAATAATACTTCTGACCAGGGAGAAGCGATCTCAAGTGTTCTTGAAGAACTTTGTCCTTGAGAGAAATGAGGAATTGTTGTTGGTGCATTGTTTCTTAGACAGAGACCATCTAAGACTGGATAAAGAGAATGAGACCAAAGGAAGAATATTCAAGAGACGTTTGCACAAAGATGGGATAACTGGCACCCAGTTGTCAGGTTAAATTTCCAATTAGACTGAAATTAGTTCAACTGTAACAGGTCAAATATCGCTGGAGAGAAGTGTCCTATGAAATCAGGAGGTGGGAAGAGAGTGTGCACTGTTTCTTTTCTACTGTCATAGGCAAAATAGATCCCTTCTGGGTCCATAAATCTCACAGATACGGATTCTAAGCAGAAGTAAAAACTGAAAGAAGGGAAGTACACACATCAAGATATAAGGCAAAAAGTCAACTGGGCATTTGCTAAAATATGCATCACGTTTTTTTGCAGTACCAACATTTCCTAATATGGCAAAATTAGATTGAAATTTCTTGAGGCCCGTTCTCTTTACGTGAATTCTAGAGCCAGAAATGTGAATGAGAATATGATATACCCAATTCCAAATCTCTAACATAATTAGTTTTAAAATACATTGGAAATAATTCAAAATAAAAATAAAGAAAAATGTAAAATGCCACATAGGTTGTTTTACTGAACAACAGATATAGCATTAAACTGAGAGATCAGTAATAAAATCAACTGTATAGTAGAAATAGAGACCAACAGTAGCCTGAGAAAGGTCTGGAAAAAATTAAAGAGTTGAAATTTCTAGTTCAAATTGTAAACAGAATAACTAAGGCTCACATGTTTGTATTTATAAAGTAAAAAGGGACGGATTTAGGACATTTTATGCAGGTATGTATGTGTAATATTTGTCAATTAAAATAATTATAGCATTAGCTCATTCCACTGCTAGATTTCAAATTGTGATACTTTACTGTTACAGATTCCAAACTTTATGAGTTCATGTGGTGACCAAAATATACAGTGCATGCACTTGAAACTTTCTAAAGCAGTTCTGGAAGCCCTCTTTCATGAATATCTTTATGATGTCTTTTAAAATACACTGTCAATGCCTCTCTTATGTGTCATCCAACAGAGAGGGAGGCTGAGAGAATATTATGACATGTCCTTACTCACCTTTTTCACAGAATCCAGTATCACGTGACTTCTGGCTCTTCTCCAAAATCAAAATGACCGTGAAAGGCAAACATTTTGAGTTGGTTCAGCATCTCGAAGCACCTGTACGAGTGCAACTAATGACACTCCCATAAGAGGACTCCCAAAATTGCTTTAGAAAGTGACAGGAAGGTTAAATGTGTTCCTAGAGAGCAAGTGTCCAAGAGGATTTAGAGCAACATGTCCTTACTGTTATGAGTATTCATCTTATTTTCAATCACAACCTGTATTATTTTTAGGCCTTGACATTGGCTTATTTAAGACAAAAGTCTTAGCTTCTTTCATATTTCTACAGACAATCATAATATATGGTTATTCATAGCAAGCACATATCCAAATGTAAAGAACACCCAGAAACAAGTACTGACTCAAATAACCCTGTTACCTGTTGTTGGGGAGGCAATGCTAAATGAATAGTCAAGCACAATGTATTAAATGGGTAACAAAAATATATACGGGGAATACAGTGAAAGTATGACCTGCCTGCACACAATGTGTTTTTCTATGAGTTACACATTCAAATTACTAGGAAAATAAATGCTGGCATTTATTCCTTGATTTATATTTTTATAGCTCTCACATTTGCTACCATTTCTATATTTACCTTGGCACATATATTTATTGTTGAAAATGAGTGACAGTGGAAACAACAGTTTAAATATTTCAATTTTGATATTAAAATAAAATTAAGCACCAGTAGAATGACAGTCTGGCAAACAATAGTCCATATGCAAAGTACTGATAAACTAAGAATGATCTTTTAGTAGTTTTACAGATTTGATAAACCTTTATACAAATAAAATAAATATAGAACAAAACAAACAAATAATTCTTAATTTTTAGTCCATAAAACCAAAATGTTTTACATCTTTTCACACAAAAGGTGAACAAAGGTAGTTATTTTTGTCTTTATTCTAAAAGAAGAAAAATTAATCTTGTTTTTCTGCAGAATAGAGATTTTCTGCAGAATTGGGATTTTTAGTAGAATTGAGATTTTAAATTTTAGCAAAAAAAATTACAGCACAATTGGAATAATAAAAAAGTAAAATGTTAGAGAATAATTGGGATTAGATACTCCATAAATATGTTCTCCCCCTTTATGATTCTTATCTTCCATTAAGAAAAATTGGTCACTTGTAATTTAGAAAACAAAATTATCTATTTTAAGCCCAAGACACAGATGAATAGAAATCAATATTAATAATGATATTATTGAGCTCCAATATTATTATTAACATCTAATTTTAACGGAGTTCTATTACAAGATAGAGACTAACCACCCACTTGAAATTTCCTCCTCTTTAATATTCCTAATGGGAAGTATAACTTTTGCAATGGCTAA